AAGCTGTGTAATGGCTGGATAAGAGAAAAGTGAGCTTAACAACGACTGGCGTGCCGTTCTGATTAGAAGCGAAATGAAGATAAAAATTAAAAGGATTTGATTTGATGATGGTGTGATTGTTTGGAATCGTAATAGCACTTCTCAATGTAAGCGAGTTGGTAGGAACGGGGTCATCTAGCGCATGCCTCTAATTGAAAAGTGAAGTATGCTTATTAATTAATTGTTGGGATGGAGATGACGCAGTGGAGAAGTGAAGAGAAATAAAGATTTTTAGCAACTTTACATTATTTTTTAGAAAGATTGTTTACGAAAAACTGTTAATCTGAAGCAATCATGGCCAGAGATAAATGCAGACCGAGCAAAAATAGTAGTCGATGTAATGGTAAGGATATGATGAACTTTGAAAGGGATTCGGCTGCCTTGTTAACAACGGTCAGTGCCGTGGCAGTAAATATGGCTCCGAGCAATACTGCTTGAGTATGATGATGGAGAGCGACTGAAATATCGATATCAGAGAGTGGTCGACAAATCTTACGATTTAGAAACTGCGATTAAAAATGGAATGTTAGGTGTGGCGGAATTTCAGAGAGCTTGAAAGCTCATGAACAAGTTTGAAGCTGGCCAAGGAGACTTTTATTTATCACATGACATTGGATTGAATTGGCAAATGCAGTTCAATATACCTTGGGATCGCCGATAGACGGGATGTCTCAGAGAGTTCCAGGAAACCAGTTTGTGAATGCAAGTAGCAGCAATAGTTTAAAGTTTAACTCGATCATTATGGACGGGTGAATGAGTGGTGAGATGGTAAGATGTTGCTATTATCAAATGGCTCCAAGGGATTCAGAACACTCGGTTAGATTCAAGGATAAGCTTACAATCAGTTGTTTGTCTATTGCAGAGATCAAACACTAATGGTGAAAATCGAGTAAGTCATTATGCCTCCTTCCATCTCCTCTTCCTTCCTTTGCAAACCATCTTGCACAGGTGCTGGTGGTAGCGGAATGTGATACGCGCGGAAGAAACATTTCTCTCTTGAAGTCTCCTTAGGAGAAGAAAAGTCCTCGTTAGCGGATTTAAGATTACATGCATGCGGATTGCAAGCGGAGGAGTACCGAGCATTAATTAGAAAGAATCGCGAAATAGTTTATGGATAGAACCCCTCTAAAGGTATAGGATATGACGGAGCGATGCGAAGATGTCACGATGATGGTAAGCGTAAGAAAGCGGTGGCAAGTGCCGCGTCACTTTGATTTCAGTATTCCATGAATGGCACTTTGTTAAAAAGATTTTTCATAATAAATCCGTTCCGTTCGGAGGAAGTAAAGACGGAAGAATTCTGGCAGAGTGACAGGAAAGGAGTGGGGGTGGCCCGTCCGGAGAGAGGTCCCAGTCTTGAATGTGTGCATCTCTCGAAAGTTCCGATCCCTCTCACCTTTACAGAGAAGCGATTTAGTCGGTTTGCTGTGGTAGCCACCAGAGCTGACCATTGTTGTGCAGTGCCAGTCTTGTGGACCGTTCCTTCCCTTTTGCATTTGAATTGTTCAGCACAAATGGCCGACCGGCTTCATCATCCTTTCCATCACCACCTCATAGCTATTAGTTTAGATCTCTCACTCTCAGTGCCTTTTGCTTTCTCACATCCCCTCTCTTTTCACTTTCCGCATCTCTGGCATTCTCCATCTCTCCACCTTTCCCTTCTGTGACCTCTGACATTCTATTTTGACCACCGCACATCTCGAACTTTATCATTTCTGAGCATAAGTAAGTAAAGAGTTGTACTGTTATCATTTTGGAACCTTTCTCGGCCCATATTGTTAATGCAACCTTCTAAAATGATCTCTCTGTATTACATTGTGTCGCGCTGTGAATTTAGGAAATTGTCGCCACGAGACAAAAATCCCTCTAAAGCCTCTTTTTTAATTGCTTACCTGTCATAAGACGATTTTATAGCAGCATAGAATTGCCAAAGCATAGCAAAATATTTGTTGCAAAAGGTTCGAAAGTGTACTTCACATCGGCTAGAAGACAAAGTGCACAAAAACTTATTCCATTCAGAGATTCAGTGTAGCAAAATAGGAGGTCGAAGGTCATGCATGAAACGCTGTCATGTCATACTTAATGTGTCTGCACGGCCATTTCAGTTTCATTCACTTCTAAATGGCGTTTTATCCCGCGAAACAGTACACCTTATTGTATAATGAAAGATCGTTGCGAGAAAGCTCCAAATTACTACTCCAGTTTTGTGTATTGGTTGTGACAACAGTGGAAACGAAAGAATACACATGGAAGATTAAATGCTAGGCTTCACCACCTGAGAAAAACCGAGAAGTGAAGGATTGCTTCCAAACTTCAATCAGGCTCAATCTTTCATCTGTTAACATGAAAAAAGAGCCAAAATGTGATGTTTTTATAGTTGAAATATATCATTGCAGCAGAGAAACATGCTAGCAGTGGCAAAAAGCTTCTTCACTTTGTAGCTGGCTATTAGCAGCTAGCTTTTTTCTTCTCTCATATCGGAAGGAACTACCGTTGTAAACCTTACCCTTCCACTCCTCTTCATTCTAATCATTCAAACTAATTTATTAGCTGAATTCCGAAATGAAGAACTCCTGGATTTGCTATTGCAGAGAGAATTCGAGAATTGATATGAAGGAAATATCTGATGAATACCAATTATCGGTCGCTCTCACAGTGCACACACAGCCCACTGTCCTTTATTTTACCTTCGTCCCCATCTTGCTGGGATCAGCAACGCATTGTTACATTCGGATCAATTTGCTGCAAATTGATCACCAACTATTCTTTGCCTCTGGCAGTAATGCTGCCACTTTGGGGACGTGTAGCCGTTGTCTCTTTTGGTCACAATTACCACTATGCTCTATGAAAGTTTTCACTGCTCCAACTTCTCACAAAAAAATAGCCAAGAAAAAAGAAAACAAAGACCTCTAGCTGGACACTGTTCTTTAATGAAAAAATTCTTTGCTTCGAAACTGATTTTATCATTGCTGCACAAATCACTGATGTTGTGGAATGATTCACTGACCCTGAAAGCTTGCGTGCTGGAATGAATGAAATAATAAATGGGCCAGACTTATTATGACCAGGTTATTATTACGTTATTCAATTTCCTGCACAGATGTACTTGCTTGCTGGTAGCCGTAATTGGATCCTCGCCTTAACCCAGAATGGACTTTCTGTCTTGGCCGGCATGAGAGGTAAAACTGTTTATCGTCGGCTATCGTCACTCACGCCTATCGTTTTCTAATAATTATCCATCGAACGGTCTGTCCTTTCTCATTAGAGAATGATGTAGTTTGAGATAGCGCTATCAGCTGAAATGCAAAAGGATTCGGAGGAATATTACTCATTTACTGTCATTTATAAATCCATGGTTTGAGTTCGCCTGAGTTTAGCCTTGAACTAAAAGAAGTTTTCTCGGAAGTTGCAAACATCATCGGTTCCTTTTTCTGTTTAAAGAGTTTTTTATGATCGGACAAATATGATTTGAAGAGCTTTTATGACAGTTATCCTTTTCTTCCCATAAATTGTAATAGCAAAAGCTATTTGGGTAATAATTTCAAGTTGGCTAATCGTTCATTTCATATTATGGCTTAGACTAAAATCTCATGAAATTGACTATTTGACCATATCCGGATGCTCGATGTAGAATGGCGAATCTAAAACTGAAATTAATGAATCAATTTTATTGAAATTTCATGGAGTAATATTGTAATTTTAAAGTCAGTTCGAGATTTAGTAATGTCTTGGTATGAAAAAAATTTAGTGCCCTATGTTTGCTTTCTCTTATCGAAACCGTCAATATCTATGAATTTTCGGTGAACATATTGCTCTATTTCTGACAACATCCGCATTCAGCGCCAACTCCTAAAGAGGACGATTCATTGCGACACTATTGAATGATGATCAACTGATATACTTCTTATCATCGATTGCGTTTTAGTGAATAGAGACGTAATCTATTCAGGGGAAAGAGAATCTTAAAACTATATCATCATCTGCTGTCTTCCACCACATTGTTTACTTATGGATTTTCTAGGCCGTACTAACCTGAAAACAATGACCTGAATCTTTCATTAGCCGCACCCTATCAGATATAAAACGTTAAAGCACTTTTAGTCTAGGAATTATATCTTCTCCACATCCTTCTTTCACTCATGTTGAATGGACTGCGATACGTGTGACGTGGTAATTTGCGTTTATCTGTCCTAATCATAGAATACCCTCTCTCTGTCGGATTCTGAAGTATGGAATCCCCCTAATTTAGTTCAACGGAAATAAGTGCCAAATGAGTGACACTCCTGCAAAACTTCTCTCAATTTGCAGGTCAATGTCACTCGTTGCAACGAGCGTCACGCCAACCTACGATATACCACGTCCCTCTCAGGAAGCTGTTTTACAACTGGAATCCTGGTATCACGGGTTACTGACCAGACTGCGATCTGAATGTCTTGTTCGATCTGAAGGAGATTTCTTGGTGAGCTATGATTTATCCTCGATGAAATTGTAATTAGAATGCAGTGAATGTCCTGCCTCATATAATGATGTGCGCTAACTTTGGACACAGAGGCCTGGGGGACAAAGAAGGGATCCTATATAAGAGAGGTGACATCAGGATGACCTTTGGTCAAGTGCGTCGCACGCAATTCATATATCATGTCTATATGTCTCTCCACTCTGTCAAGCAGAAATGTCGAGTAAAAAGTTTAAAATCTTTGAAGATAATTTCGATAATATGCATGTGCTTTATGAGAAATTTAATTAATTCTAGTTATTTCGCTCAAATTGCTTCTTTTCTACAGAAGAGTGAACGGTCCTCCAGCATTGTTTCCGTGAAATTCATTTCTTAAGAAGAGTACTGAGTCTGCGTGAGTCGTTGAATGCTACGGATTTTGACTCACAGGAAGTTAAAATTCCTGAGAGTCAAATTTCGACAATGTTCCTAAGATGAATGGAGATTTCGCTAATTTTATTACAGGTTCGTAACAGCATTTCGTTCAAAGGCGATTTTGTGTTGACAGTGTTTTGGAATGGACATGCCTTGCATTTTCAAATTAACAAAGACCCGTCACCTTTCAGTTCAAGCGGCTTTTTTTTTCAGGTTTGCATAAATTTCTGAGAATTTTGAATTAATTTTTAGATGCAGATCATCCATCTTGTGGGAACAAAATGAACACGGTTTTGCAGACCGTCCGAAGATGACATTGGAAGTAAATTCATTTCTACACTGTAAAGGCGCACAGTGCCTCAAAATGAAAATGCTGAAAGATTTCGAGATGGGATCAAGAAAAAATTACAAATTTCATTCCATGCATCCTTTTGGTGATACTCGAGATAATGTCACATGTGTTATTTATGACTAACATTTCTTCACATTCTTCTTAAGTCATTTAACTATTGAACGCTTCAAGAGGCTATTGAAGTCTTCATCACTAGAAAACTGATCATATTTTTTC